AAAAACAGAATCTACAAGTAAACCGGATACCTCTGGGTGCAATTAGCTAGAACAACAATACAGCAATGGAAATTTACACTGATGTCCCTTGCAGCCTGTGAATACCCTTCACGCTCTCAATCACACTGAGTTACAGTAGCAGGTATGTACAAAACCAGCCAGAAAACGTGCTGAGCTAAACTTAACTCCCAGGGCTAGGGCAGCGGCACAGGATGCAAGAGGCACAGGGACCTGAAGCGCAGATGAACTGTGCTGCCCTCTAGTGATGATTCACACCGAGCCTTCTCGCCAGCGAGTAAACGCTCATTAACTAGGAAACTAATTCAAGTCTTCATTTATTTGTTTGTTGTTGTTGTTTTTTGGTACCGGGATCAAACTACGGACCTTCTGCTTGCAAAGCAGGTGGCAGAACCACTGAGCTAAATCCCCAGCCCTTCATTTATTTGTGATTGACTCTATAATAAAGAGGAATGGAACAAATAACTATTGATTAAGCCAGGAGTAAAGTTTTGGTGCACAAAAACTTAGCAATATATCTAACAATCATTTGCTAATTCAGAATGGTTAAGGAAATACAAGCAAAAAACAGGGTAAAAAATGAATTACAAAATATGGGGTACTTACATTTTATGGGAGGAACTCATTCCTTAAAACCTAATTCATCTGGGCCAGGGATTTAGCTCAGTGGTTCTGCAGCCTGCCTCAAAAGCAGAAGGTCCCGAGTTCAATCCCTGGTTCCAAAAAAAACCAAAAAACAAAAAACAAAAACCTAATCCATTTAAAAAAAAAATCCTAATTAATTAAAAAATTTTTCTTAAAGGGCCGGGGATTTAGCTCAGGGTTTTCACTGTCTGCTGCACAAGCTCAAGAACCCGAGTTCAATCCCAAGTGCCAAAACAAACAAACAAACAAAACAAAAAATTTTTTAAAGACAGGGTCTCACTCTGTAGTAGCCCAGGCTGGCCATGAATTCACTATGTAGCCAAGACTGGCCTTGAACTCACAGTGATCCTCCTGCCTCAGCCTCCTGAGGGCTGGGATTACAGGCATGCACTAATATGCCGGCTTTTTTTTTTTGGTACCGGGGATCAAACTTGGGTCCTTGCGCTTGTGCAGCAAGTGCCAAAACCACTGAGTTAAATCCCCGGCCCTGTCTAGCTTTTTTAAAGCATATTTTTAATGTACAATAAATTACTTGGCCCTCTATCAAGTTCTTAAGAGAAAAATCTAATTTCATCAAATAAGACAAAGCATATTTCAAAGCAACAAAGTATTCATTGAATGAGATCAATACTTATTATTATTGTTGTTGTTGTTCTGAGACAGGGTCTCACTATGTAGTTCAGCTGGTCTCAAACTCACAGTGATCCTCCCGCCTCAGCCTGCCAAGTGCTGGCAGTGTTCCAGGCAGGCGCCACCAGGCATGCCCACTCCAGGACTTAGTTTAAATTCAATCCTGAGCCTTTTAAGGCATTTGTTAGGCTCCCTTAACTTAGGACTAACTATAAACTGCCTCTCAGAAACATAAATTAAATGTACAAAATGAATTTGAATTTAGAGAATGAGGAACGTTAACTGAATTTTAAGCCATTTTGATTAATATCAAGTAACAGATATGATAGAGCTGGGGATAGGGCTGGGGACATAGCCCAGTGGTGCTGCACCTCCCTGGAAAGTGCAAGGTCCTGAGTTCGATTCCCGGTACCAAAAAAAACCAAACAAACCAATAGAGCCACTCCCTTACTAGAATCTTGGCCACAGAGTCGGCTCTTTCAATGTACAAGTTCAAAAATGGAAACATACAATACCCAAACAATCCTGAGAAGGAACAAAACAAACAGCTTTATGTCACCAGGAGCCTCCGGGCAATAGGAGGCCAAGGCACTGCATGGCTGCAAGGAAAGTGAGCGGCTGGGAGCCAGGGACTACCATGTAAGACAGGGAGGGCAGGACTCACTCCACCCCTGGCTAACTTGACATGTGGGCTGCGTACATTGGGTCCCATTCTAAAAGTCCTATTTATTAGAGTTCCAAACTGATGGTAATTTCCTCAGAAACAACCTAGAGACCTCAAAAATGAAGCCTGGGCACAGAGCTCTTCTTGTCCAGAAAGCAATGTGAACCTAAGCAGAGGCTGTGGAGTAGCAGCCAAGAAGCCTTCATATCCTGAAAAACCAGAGACAGATCGTGCCATCTCTAAGAAAGGCCGTGGAAGAAGAGAAATTCTGGGCATGCGCAATGGAAGCAAACCCAAGGCAGACACGTGTTCCAAGACCAGCCGCAGGGGCTCCGCGTGCTCCTCAACACAAGGCTGGGAGCAACAAGCGATGGGCACAGTACAGGGGAAGCGCTCACAGAGAAAGACAAAGGGCCGGCTCCTCTGCCTCTCCTTGTATTTCCAATTTTTTCCTACTTCTTTTTCTCCGTACCTTTCTTTGTCCCTCTCCTATCTTTTCCAATTGTTCCATTTTGCATTTCTCTTAAAATTCTTCTCTGTTCTCTTACTAACAGAAATAACATTCTAATGAAAATCAGAAAATTATACAAAAATAAATATAAATATAAGATTTTAAATTATACATTTTTTCCCTTTTTTCTGAGGCAGTCTTGCTATGTAGCCCAGGCTGGCCTTGAACTGGAGGGAGATCTTAGTATCTCACCCTCCTGAGTGCTGGGATGGCAGGAAATTGTATTTTTTGACATGAGTATTGCCAACTTTTTTTTTTTGTGGAATTTGCCTGAAATTTCCTAGATATATCAAAGCATATGCTAATATGAGAAACTATTAAAAATACTGATCACATAAATAATACTTGGTGACAATAATATTATGAGAAAGCAAAGACCAAAGTTAATGGAAAGTATGCCAGGCATGGTGCCACATGCTCCTAAACCCAGTACTCGGCAGGCTGAGGCAGGAGGATCACCATGAGCTCAAGGCTAGACTGGGCTACCTAGTGAATTCAAGGCCAGCTTGCACTGCACAGTGAGACCTTGTCTCAAAAAAAAAAAAATCATTTAAAAAAATTATTTTGATACAGGGTCTCAAGAAATTGACCACGTTGGCCTCAACTTTGTGATCCTCTTGCTTCAGCCTCCCTAGTATAGCTAGGATTATAGGTAGAGGCCACTACACTCAGCTAGATTTAAACTATTGTTGATTTTTTAAAAATGTGATTTTTGTCTTATTTCACTGTTTGGGGATATTTATAGAAGTCGAAGAACAATTTAATTAAGCCTTTTTTTTTTTTTTTGGTACCAGAGATCGAACTCAGAACCTTGTGCTTGCAAGGCAGACACAGTGCCAATGAGCTAAATCCCCAGCCCAATCCTTCCTTGGGCTGGGGATTAAGCTCAGTGGTTTGGCCGCCTGCTTTGCAAGCACAAGGTCCCAAGTTCAATCCCCGGTACCACAAAAACAGAACAAAACAAATGTCTTTGAAAAGGAAAGTAAAAAGAATTAAGATGTGTTATGCACACGTACCGACTTCCCATGATGTATAATTGCTATAAATTGTGACTATATATTAGTATAAAAACTTTTTTTTAAAGATTTCATTGAAGAAGTTTCCTCCAAGTTCTTTTCTCTTTAAAATAGGAAATAAGAGGGCCAGGGATTTAGCTCAGTGGTTCCACCACCTGCCTCACAAGCTCAGGGACCTGAGTTCAATCCCCAGTACCCAAAAAAATAATAATAAAATAAAATAGGAAATAAGGGCCAGGGATTTAGCTCAGTGGTTTCACCACAGGCTGCACAAGTGCAAGGACCCAAGTTCGATCCCTGGTACCAAAAAAAAATAAAATAAAATAGGAAATAAAAATAATGGTATATAAGCCAGGTGCAGTGGCACACACCTGTAATCCCAGAACTTGGGAGGCTGAGGCAGGAGGATCACCATGAGTTTGAAGCCAGCCTGAATAGTGAGATCCCCTTTCAAAAAGCCAAAAAAAAAAAAAAAAAAAGTATATAATAATGTTTGTGTTGTCTATTTACCTCAAAAGCTATCCTCCAATTAAAATGGAGCTCAAACTACATAAACATTTCTGAGGCAGTGGATCTCTCCCCATTTTTATATTACTGTTTAATTTTTCTCCCTCTGTTACGGTTTAGAACAAAAACACTCCCCAAGAGCCTCCTGTGCTTCGAGGCCGGGCTCTGGGCAGGACCCCCCATGGGGTGACAGGGCTGACCGGCTGTGAGGAGAGGGCCTGCTCAGAGCAGAATCCCTGGGGTAGGACCTGGAAGGGCCTCTCTCCCACCCGCTCCTCCCTTCACTCTCTGCTGACGAGCTTCTAGGAGGTAAGCAGCTTTTCTCTGCCAGGCCCTTCCTCCATGCCTTCCTGCCCCGGAGCCAGCCAACAATGGACAAAGAACATGAGCTAAAATAAATCTCTCCTCCTTTAAATTGTGGGTGGTGAATACTCTGCCTCAGTGATAAGCAAAGTCACTAAGACACTCTCTAATACTAACTGAGATTTTTTCATGTAGAATATATTTTTAAAATAATGTCACATTGCTGGGTGTGGTGGCATATGCCTGTAACCCCAGGACTGGGTAGGTGGAGGCAGGAGGATTGCTATGAGTTCAAGGCCAGCCTGGGCTACACAGTGAGATCCTGTCTCAAAACATCAAAATAATAATAATAATAATAATAAAGTCACAGTCCTATTAATGATGATTGCTTGAATTTGTACCTTAAAGTAATTATGTTCACTTGAAAAATAAAACTGAAAGAAAAATAGATACAATAGAACTTTTTTCTCTTGGCTATTCTATAAAATATATCAGATATATTAATACATAAGACCCTGAAGCAAATGATTTCAAGAAAATAAAAGATGAAAATCATACATTTTATAAAAACATCTGTACAAGAAAACGAAAATATGGGGGCCAGGGATTTAGCTCAGTGTGCCACCACCTGCCTCACAAGCGCAAGGTCCTGAGCTCGATCCCCAGTACCAAAAAAAAAGAAAATGAAAATATAAGTCCATCTTACCAGTATCACTGGCAAGGGAATCAGGATCAGATCCCCCAAGGGTAGCTTCAAACTCCTCCTGGAGACGGTATGCTCTCTGCAGCAGAGCTTCAAGTTTATGGATGAATTCAGTACTGATAATGTCCTATGAAGAGAAGAAGTTATGTATAGCAATGCTAAAATTTCAAACAGAAAATGTTTGCTTTTAAATAAAAGGCAGGGAAAGAGAAGAGTATCATAATAGAAGTTAGGAGGTCTGGGTCTCTGTTCTCAGGATCCAGTTCATGTGTAAATTAAGGAGTCAGACTAGCTCAGGGCTTCTCAGAGGAAGGTCCCCAGGCCAGAGGCATCACTGTCATCTGGGGACATTAGAAATGCAGTTCTTGGGCCAGGGATTTAGCTCAGTGGTTCTGCTGCCTGCCTCACAAGTGCAAGGACCCAAGTTCAATCCCTGGTAGAAAAAAAAAAAAATGCAGTTCTCTCGGGTGGCCACAGCCTAATGAATCACAAACCTAGGTGTGGAGGCCCCAACTCTGAGTTTCAGCAAGCCCTCAAGGTGCATTCCCAAGTTTGCCAATTAGCAGTCTACTGAAATAATCAATAAGGACCAGTCCAGTTCTGCCTCTGTGACTTTTACGAATATAACAATACTTAAGGAAACCCAAAGCACAAAACAGGTTTTTCAAAAATTCGTAAGGCTGGGCATGGTGGCACACACCTGTAACCCCAGCGACTTAGTAGGCCAAGGCAGGAGATCGAAAGTTTAAGGCCAGCCTTGGCAACTGAGTAAGATCCTGTCTCTAAAAATAGGGGGAGAGGGAGTGAGGGTGTAGCTTAGTGATCCTTGGGTTCAATCCCCAGCACTGATAAAAACTTCCAGAATACGCACAATAAGTAGATAATGATGAATAACTGAACAGAAAATACCCAAGAGCCCTTCACATAGGCCAAAGGGAAAAAAAAAGAAAACATCTACCAAATGTCAGAGAAATCAAGGACACTACATTAATACTGAACACAGTTTGATTCTCCCAATAAGAACATGACTCGCAGTGAGTCCCCCTTACATCCACACTCTCCTCAGCAATGGCATCTCCTGCACCCAGTTTAATGGAAGCACAGGTGTCCTCTTCAGCCTGTCTGTTGCGGAAGGTTAGAGCTTGTTCCCATCGACGCAACGCCTCTTCGAACAATTCCATACCTAGGAATTAAGAACAGAACAATTATAAATAAGGAAAACCAATGCCAAAATAAAATTACCTGGAGTCTGGAATTTTGGAGTTTTTTTTTTTTTTGGTACCGGGGACTAAAGGGACCTTGCGCTTTCGAGGCAGGCGGCGGAGCCACTGAGCTAAATCCCCGGCCTCTGGGCCTACAGTTCTAGTCCACCAAAACTCAGAGAGAAAATGGTCAATATGTCTTCTTTTTTATTTTAAAAGTAATTCAAATGCAAATAGTACTTAGAATTTTTCTAGAACATTATTAATTCATCAAAAGTTCAAGATTAATGGTTTTTATAATCATAATTATATTTCAAAATGTCCCTCTAAATAGAAAAAACACTACAACTTCTATCAGGCTTGTAAATTCTCAGAAGGAAACAGTAAACCTGAAAGTAGTATAGAAGTCCAAATGAACTGTTTATCACCAGGTATGGAGACGAACGCCTGTAATCCCAGCACTCAGGAGGCTGAGGCAGGGATTGCTTTGAGTTTGAGGCCAGCCTGGGCTACATAGTGAGTGAGTTCAAAGCTAGCTGAAGCTACATAATAAAACTCTGTCTCAAAAAACAAACAAACAAAAAAATGGTGCCCTAAACCACCACTGTCTCAATTTGCTGATTTAGATGAATAAATTGGTTGGCCAGAATTAAAAATCTCCAAGATACCCATAAACGGTTGGCTATAGTCCAAGCAGGAATTTCATATCCTTTCTTAGAGAAAATTTTTTTTATGGGCAAAAAGAAAGTGACTATAACTCTTTTTTCTCCAAGTGAGAAAGAAAAAGCTTATTAAAATTAAGTACTTCAAACAAAATCAAAACATACTATAACTTCAAATTTTCTACACATATAAAAGAAAAAGGTCTTTAAAAAGCTGCTCAAGAATCTGGATTCAAGACATTCTCAAAATGTTTTTAGGATACAGTACGTAAGAATACATCTTCCCTAAAGTCATTATTTCTTCAATTATCTGTGGAATCTAGGACTCTAAACAAAAATTTTCATATGCAATGTAGGCCTTTCTTTCTTGTTGATTTTCTGTGGTGAAGAACCTCTTTACAATTTTTTTTTTTTTTTTTTTTGTACCAGGGATCAAACTCGGCCTCCTTTCAATTTTCATCCTAAAAAATTATGCTTTTACAAGACAATTTTACCCATTATTCTATTAAAGGACAATTATATCCACCCTCCTTTCTGCACAGCTCCAATTTCTTCATCCTTTCTTCTCTTACTGTCCTCTCTCTATCCATCTAATTATTTTGGATGAACACAGGAAAAATTACCTAACAGCAGACTTGCCCAAAGATAAAAGTTGCTTCCTTGGGAAGTACACTGTGTCACTACAGAACATGACTCAGACTACCACACATTATCAGTTTTATAACAGGAAGTCAAACATATTTCACCAATCTTTTTTTTTTTTGGTACCGGGGATGGAACTTGAGTCCTTGTGCTTGCGCAGCAGGTAGTGAAACCACTGAGCTAAATCCCCGGCCCTGTCACCAATCTTTTTAATGCCATCAATTTTGTAAAGGGAATTACAAGAAATGAGTGATTAGTCTAGGTGACCCATAGGGCTCCTACCCAGAGACTGTTCTGGATTATCTAATGGACCCTAAATCTAATTACTAGTGTCCTCAGAAGAGAGAGGTGCAGGAAGATTGGATATGCACAGAGAAGAATATACTATGAAAACCAAGACAGAGATGGAGTGATGTGGCCACAAGACAAGGAATGGTAGCAGCCAGCAGGAGCTGGAGGAGGCAAGGAACATCTCCCCTCACCTCCAAAGGAACAGGCAGCATACACACAACAGGTACTGACATCTGACTCTAGGTCAGTCATAATGAGCTCAGACTTCTGGCCTTCCAAACTCTGAGTGAATAATTTTTGTTGTCTGAAGCAGCCATGTTTATGGTAATTTGTTACAGCACCCTCAGAAAACTAATACAACTAGTATTGTATTATGTATTGCATAGGCTGATTCAACAGATGTAAAAACCATTTAAAATCATAGCTGCTTTTCTTAGAACAATTCACTTTTCTTACTTTCAAATTAAATATGATCACAATATCTTAAAACATTATCACAGTATTCCTACCCATTAAGTACAAGTTCTCAGGAGTGGTCACAGGAATATTAACAAGTTTAACATCATCTTCATCTGCTTTGTCCCAGGAGTTAGAGTTGCCACAAGCACAGCTGTGACAAGAATTAACACTCTGGACCTAAAATGAAGATTGACAGACGTTATTTCAAAGCTTCTCTTAAACAGTGTGTTGTGATCTTTTATATTTACCATTTACATATATAAATCCTATTCTTAGAAAAACAACCCATGCGATTTACACCTTGTATAATTCTGATTTCATTCAAATTAGACGTCTATGACCCTAAGAATTCCAAGTCTGATCAAAAATACAAAAGATAGGGGCCAGGGATTTAGCTTAGTGTTTCCGCCACCTGCCACAGAAGCACAAGGTCCCAAGTTCGATTCCCGGTACCCCCTCTCAAAAAAATGGGTAACTGGTAAAAATACACAAGTAGAACAGTATTTTGAACATAAATTGGTTTTCTCAATCAAAAATCCGGCAGTAATCTTATTCTGCTTTTAGAACTTTTTTCTTTTTCTTTCTTACTTTCTCTTTTTTCTTTTTTTTTTTTTTTTTAAAGATAGGATCTTGCCCTGTAGTTCAGGCTGGCCTTGAACTCTCTATAGCCCAGACTGGCCTCAAACTCACAGCAATCCTGCCTCCTGAGTGCTGGGATTACAGGCATGCACCACCACACCCAGCTATGCGGGCCAGGCCAACTCAGCTAAATGATAATTTTTTTTTTTTTTGGTACCAGAGATCGAACTCGGGTCCTTGTGCTTGCAAGGCAGGCGGCCGAACCACTGAACTAAATCCCCAGCTGCTAAATGATAATTCAAAGTGTCTGTCATACAAGTCCTTCCCTAACAAGGTTCACTCACTAAGCCGATGCAGATGACTACCAAATCCCTCATTCTAGTTATGTTTTCTTTTGGAAAACCTAGAGCCATTTCATTTGCCTACCAGTAATTCTACTTTGCTCTTCTCCTGGGATCTCAAACTGACTCTATCATAAAAGGACCTCAGCTTCTTCCCACAGGAAAAACTCCCCCTCCTCCAAGCTCACTTAACATTACTTCCACTCCCATAATTTCTCAAAAACAGAAGTCATCATCAGCATATCTCTTCCCATGTCCTTCAAATCCAGTTACCAAGTTTTATGGGCCATGTTCCCTCCTTACTATTGCTGCTGCGTGAACCTAAGGTAGGCATCTATGGTACTGCTTGAGAGAGAAAAACCAGGCAGAGAGAATTCGGGTGTGGTGGTGCACACCTGGAGTCCCAGTACTCAGAAGGCTGAGGCAGGAGGATGGCAGCAAATTCAAGGCCAGCCTGAAGTAAGTGGCAAGACCTTGTCTCAAAAATAAATCAATAAACAACCAAAAAAAAAAAACAAAAAAAAAACAGCTTCAACTTTCCTTTGAGAATATTCTAAATAGGCAGCTCTCTGACTGAGGAAATCTAGATTATAGACTAGGTATACTCTTCATTATTCTGTTCCGTTTCACAGAACTGAAGTCTGCAGACCTTTATCTAGATGTTCTTTTTTTTTCAGTACTGGGGATCAAACTCAGGTCCTTGCGCTGGCGAGGCAGGTGGCAGAACCACTGAGCTAAATCCCTGGCCCTATCTAGATGTTCTTACCCTGGAAATGCCTGAAAAATTTAGTATATTTATGATGGACATGATAATCTGGTTATAGCCCCAACTAAAGGAGGAGGCTGAACTAGGAAGGTCAGTTGAGCCCAGGACTTCAGGGCCAGCTTGGGCAACATAATGAGATCCCATTTCTTTTCTTTTTTTTTTTTTTTGTTACTGGGGATCAAACTCAGGACCTTGCGCTTGCGAGGCAGGTGGTGGAACCACTGAGCTAAATCCCCGGCCCTTCTGGCCCATTTCTTTAAATAAAAAAAAGATGAAGCACAGTTTTAGGTATTACAGAATAGGAAGCTATATATTCCAGTGAAATACAGAAGCAAGGTTCAGAACAGAGCATGGAGTTGTGCAAACTAGCAGGAGAAGATGAACACACATGCTGATAGTAGTGTGTACTGTACTTTCTAGAAATATACATAAGAAACTGTTGGTGTTCACTCCAGGACTGAGTGGACGAAGGACACATTTTTCAATGTGTATTATTTCGCCTGTTCTGTACTAAGGGGCAAGTGCGTGTCCTACCTATTTTTTAAAATTAATTAGACTCTATTGGAATTAAACAAATACGAACTTCCTTCCTCACTTGTCAGTCAGTATTATATTAAGCTGAAGAAGGGAGGCCTCTGGCTCACCAGTTACTACCCGAAGAATGCTGCAAAGGAGCTGAGGAACCACGTTTGGCTTTAGAAAGGCAGGTGCCTTGACCTACACAGCCTCACGGACCAAGCACAAGTCCGGCTCCGGCACCGAGCTGCTGTACTGCACAGATCTAGTCTGGACACAGCACTGCCACACCAGAGCCACCTCACAGAACCCAGGGACTCTACAGTCACTCAGAGCACTGGGAACCAAGCAAAACTTACTTGCCTGAAGAACAAACTCAACTGGATGATTTCTGAAGGTTCTTTCAGTACTAAGTTACAGGTGTGTGACACTTTAGCTAATAGTCAACAAGAGAAAAATAAAAAAAATAAGAAAAGTAGTAATATATTTTTTACTTACAGAGCCCAAACTCTGTGCAGAACCTGAGTATTTACTGAAAAGTCCTCCAATGGCAAAGTTGCAAGACTGAGATCCTTTGTCTTTGGCAGAACTTAAAGACAAGGTCAAATTCTGTCTACTACTGGAACAACTTGAACCTTTTAAACAAACATATTAAAAGTATCAATAATTCCAGTGAAAAACTTCACACAAAACTACAAGTTTATATTACATTCATTGAAAGCTTCTGATTTTTAAAATAACTTTTCAATTGCATAATTATTAAATGTAACAATAAAAACTACACCTCTCATGTTTTTAACACTGCTAAAATCCCCTTCTGCAATGAAAAGTAAAACATTCACCTGATTAACCAGGATGGTTTGGAATCGTCTGTAGTAATCAGCATAAAAATATTGACAACTATGAACCTTCAAATTATAAATTTAAAATATAACCACTTCTTTTCCTGAAATACATCTAATCCTTATCCATACTGCATTATATTGTACTTAGGTAGGGTTTGTCGTTGTCGTTGTTGTTGGTGTTTGAAACAGGGTATTGCTAAGTCACTAAGCTGCCCAGGCTGGGCTCTTGGGATCCTCCGCCCTCACACTCCCAGGGCGCTGAGACTACAAGGCATATTTAGTTTTTTATATTGTTTCCTCTACCCATCTATACATTCTTCTAGGTTAGACATCATGTCTTAGTATTTCTTAACAAACCAGTTAAGACCCTCCTGGATTCAAGTTCAATTATATGGCCTTCAGTTATTCATTTAACTTTTACATATTTCAAATTTCTTTTTGGATAAAATAGGAATAACATAAAACTGTAGTCCTAATTCACAGAACTGCAGAAAAAGTTAAATAAGGCACTACATATAGCACTTCGTTGAGACCCAATAAAATATCTGTAAATGACAGCAATTATTACTATAACGTATTGTACTTCGCATGTATAGTCACTGATTGAAAATGAATTGCAGGGCTGGGGATTTAGCTCAGTGGTTCCACCACATGCCTCACAAGCACAAGGTCCCGAGTACCAAAAAAAACAATTTGAATTACAAAAGTGTACCATAAATTAAATAATAAAAAAAAGAAGCTGGGGGCCAGGGATTTAGCTCAGTGGTTTTGCCGCCTGCTGCGCAAGCACAAGGACCCAAGTTCGATCCCTGGTACCAAAAAAAAAGAAGCTGGGCGCAGGTGCATACAGCTGTAATTAGAGACACCAGTCTGGGCAACATAGCTAGACCCTGTCCCCAAATAAAAAAACGAAAAGGTTTGGGAATGTAGCTCTGTAGGAGGAACTGGTTTTAATCCTCAGGAATGGGGGAGAGGCCACTAAAACATCTGGCATGCTTAAGAAATTATTTTTATTGCTACAACTCAGCAATATGTATCTCTAACAAAAATTACAGCTTTTTTTTGAGGCTGGCCTTGAACTCACTATGTAGCCCAGGATGGCCTCAAACTCACAGCAATCCTCCTGCCTCAGCCTCCCAAATAAACCCTTTAAAAGGCCAGAAATTCTTCTAGGACATTAGATACTAAGGAAATAGACAAATACATGCAAAACAAGAAAAACACAAATATCCTCAATGAAACAAAGGGAAATGTTTAAATAAATTAGGGAACATGTGTACAATTTTAACACTAATCACATATTAAAAATGATAACACAGATACATATTTATTGACCTAAAAAGACATTCTTGTATATTGTCAAATATATTAAAAGCAGGTTAGCTGGGGATTTAGCTCAGTGGTTCTGCTGCCTGCCTCGCAAGCACAAGGATCGGAGTAAGATTACCGGTACCAAAAAAAAAAGTATGTTGCATAAAAGCAGGGGCTGGGGATTTAGCTCAGTGGTTCTGGCGCCTGCCGCACAAGCGCATGGTCCCATGTTCGATCCCCAGTACCAAAAAAATAAAATAAAAGCAGGCTATAAAATACGGGACCACATATTTTATACATAAAGCTGGGTGTGGTGTTGCACACCTATAATTGCAACACTAGGGAGGCTGAGGCAGGAGCTTGGCTGTGAGTCTGAGGTCAATCTGAGCTACATAGTGAGTTCAAAGCCAGTGTGAACTACATAGCGAGACTGTCTCAAAAAATATATATATGTTTATTTACATATATCAAATTTTATATTTTAATATGGTAATTTAAATGTAAATATAAACAGACAGATATATATCAAAAGTATTATCAAGAGGGCTGGGGATTTAGTCAGTGGCACCGCACCTGCCTCACAAGCACAAGGTCCTGAGTTCAATCCCCAGTACTGAAAAAAAAAAAAGTATTATCAGGAATTATTTCTGGGCAGAATTTCAAATGATTTTTTCTGTTGCCTTGTCTGTATGTGCTAATCTTTCTAAAATGTGTTTATTAGGGGTTTTTTGGTTTTAGTATTGGTTTCTTTTTGCAGTACTGGGATTGAACCCAAGGCCTTCACACTGAGCTAAACCCCAACACTTTTTTTTTTTTGGTACTGGGGATCGAACTCGGGACCTTGTGCTTGTGAGGCAGGTGTCAGAACCACTGCACTAAATCCCCAGCCCCCCGACACTTTTTTTATTTTTTGAGACAGATTCTTGCTAAATCTCTGAACTACGAGGCGATCCTCCTGCCTCAGCTACCCAGAGTGCTGGGACTACAGGCATGCACCATGCCTGGCTTCTAAAATGTTATTATATGTGAGTTAAATGACAGGGAAGAAAAGTTTTGGAGACTAAAACACTGAAACCACTGTACTCCAGCTATGATTTTTACATATAATTTCTTTTGTAGACTTAACTCGGCTATTTCCACATACCTTTATCTGATGCTGCTCTTTTAGCATATTCAAGCAGGAGGTGTTCTGGTTCCCATGGTAATATCTTTCCTTTCTTCTTCCCACGTCTTCTTTTAAAATGATGGGCCAGAAAAATTACAGATATGGCACTCACTGCAGTTACCACAAACACCTTTTTAGCTACTGGTGAAAATTTGATCTGGAAAAGACACATTTAGTTTTTTTAAAAAAATCTTTTTCACTTTGTTCACTGAAAATAAAAGCATAAAAACGATTTATTTCTAATCTACCTTATTTGCAAGTATTTCCAAGATACTATAAATTTACTCTTTCAATGATACCCTAGTTTGATTTTTGTTTAAAGAAAATTTTTAAACATAATAATTGCCCCAGGGGTGTAGCTCAGAGATAAAGCACCTGCATAGTATGCATGAGGCCCTGGTTTTGATCCCCAGCTCTCAATAAATGGTTTTTTGGTTTTGGGGTTGTTGTTTTTTTTTCAGTTTTTTGAGACAAGGTTTCACTATGTAGTCCGGGCTGGTCTTGAACTCACAGGGATCCTCCTGCGTCAGGCTCCCA